CCAAACTGTCTTCAGTGAGATAATGCCAGGAAGATAGGTACAAGTAAGTGGCAGAGCCATAATATTTGTCCATATATCGGGCAGAAGTCCCCAAAGGGAACTCTGCATTGCCTCCAGATATGGCATTTCCCATTTTCAGAGGCTTGAGTTTGTTCAAAGTTTAGGACTCTCAGACTCAACAAAATCCTGATGTGGGGCTCCTCAGGATTTGGGGAGTACATTGTTTGAAAACCAGTATTTTCCTTTTGCTTTTCACTTGTGGCTGGGAGGCAGCCTAATGCTCTGGCCTGTGCCACGACCCAGTTTATCCTATCACTGAAGACTTTAACCACATCTGTGGCAGGGGGCTACCCTGTTGGCTTTTACTGGCCAACCCCTGCCTTAGTTTCCTTAGTAGTTTATGGATGGTGCTGAGATTCCATAAACTTGAAAACTACAAGTCAGTAAATTGCCCAGAACTTCACACTACTACTGCCACTAACAGAGGCAAAATTTGGCAACAGTTCTTGCAAGTTCAGAATGAAAACAGACAAGGACAAAGGAAACTAGAATCCTTCAGTAATTCTCGAAGAGTTTAACACAAGAAGATGGAGCTGGAAATTCGAGAGGGCTTACTCCAGTGAGTACCAAGGATCTGTGAAAATGGATGAGCTTCAAGGGACTCATGTTGATGCCAGAATCTTGGGCCACTGAAGATAAGACACCTTTGAAATCTCTGCTTCTGACACTAAGAAATGTCAAAAGAGTTAACTGGAGTGTCTGTTAAAATTAAAGCAGAGAGTTTATTGAAGGAACAAAGAAATCCAGATTGGGCAGCACTCTATGAGGATTCACAAAAGCACTATTACGAAAAGGAATTTTCACAGTTTAATTACAGAAAATTTAGGAACTTTAAAAGAAAAAATTCTGATTGGTTGAAATTTATAGACTCATACTTTAACAGACACCAGACCATTCCAAGATCCCATGATCATTGTTGTGTTAATCATAAAGTTTGAGTCAGTTAAAATCTTGTTAATCTATGGATATTTTGGGAACCAAAATCCCAAAAAACCAAACCCACTGCTGTTGAGGCAATTCCTCTTTATAGCGATCCCCATTGGGTTTCCAAGGCTGTAAGTCTTTATGGAAGTAGATTGCCCTGTCTGCCTTCTGTGGAGTGGCTGGTGAGTTTGAACCTCCAGTCTTCTGGTTAGCAGTCAAATACCTTAGGCACTGTGCCACCAGAGCTCCTTCAGAATAAGCAGTAAACAGCAAAAATGGAGCCCAGCCTGCAGCTTTGGCAGAAACCTCTCCTAATGCTAAGCACTTAGATTTTTAAAAGCTCTTTCACAAAAATTAATCATCCTGAATTGTTTATATACTACTTTATTTTCATCTGAAAAGTAGGCAATAAAATGAGTTGGTGTGTACTTTGGGAAGGCAGTTTAAAATTTAACACAGTCATTTACCATTTTTCTACAGTGTTTGTGATTATTTTTTAAATTAAAATGTAGATTTGCCACTGTACTCCTTGATGAATTTTTACATGAGAACAATTTAGCTCTCTGAATTGGAGTATCAGTATTGTTGAATTTTTCTCATTTTGATTACCATTAATATTATAATAATGTTTTTGCAAGGTGGTACTTTTGTTTGTTTCTCTCCATAAAAGTAATGACTAACTCACCATTGAGTGGGATCTGACTCAGATCAACCCCTCCTTGGGTTTCTGGTGCTGTATCAGTATGGAAGTAGAATGCCCAATCTTCCTTCCAAGGAGTAGCTGGTGGGTTTGAGCCACCAGAGCTCGCTGTAAAAGTAATTACTAGTCATTATTTTAAAAAGTTTTTCTTCAGTGTATGAAATGATGAAAGTAGTTATCTTCCTTCGCATTTTGGTACACATACATTCATAGTTTCAAAAATTTACTGTATTTATTAAAATGGTATCTTATTTTTTGCAACATGCTTTTGCTTCTCATTTGAGAAATCTTGAACATTTTTCCATATTAGTAACTATAGATCTATCTCATTTTTTAAACAGATACATAGTATTTCATTTTGAGGGTATGCTTTAATATATTTAATGACTCCCAATTTGATAGCTATTTGGGTGTTTTCAGTTTTTCACTGTTTTAGTAATTCAATCCTGATCATCCTGATCATTTATTTGCGTTCTTTGGAAAGAATCTTTAGTTTTGAACTTAAAATATTTTGCTATTGTTAGTTGCTGTCCACTCAGATCCAACTCAAGGCGATCTGATGTAGAAAGGATGAAACATTGCCCAGTCCTGTAGCAGCCTCACGATCACTGGCATGTCTGTGTCCGTTGTTGCTCTCCAACCTAGGGGGCTCATCTTCCCGCACTATATTGGACAGTATTCTCTTGTGAACCATAGAGTTTTCATTGGCTAGTGTTTGGCAGTAGATTGCCAGTCTTTTCTTCCTAGTCTGCCTTAATCTGGAAGCTCGAATGAATGACCCTGCTGATACCTGAGGTACCAGTGGCATAGCTTCCAGCATCATGCCAACCACAATGCAAACAGCTGACAGACAGGTGGTAGATTAAGTCCTGCTTAAATTGTGACATGAAACCAAATAAATTAAAAGGTGATACGAATAACACTCCTGTTTTATAAGTAATCTTAGTTTGTACATTATACTTGCTTTTGTTAATTAGGAATTGTCAGTAATGTACTTAGTTGGACTAGTTCTATCTGTGGCCTCCATTGGTTGGCACTTTTCCATATGAACAGATTGAAATTCTTAGCAAAGGCAGTTGGAGAAAATATTTGAAGGCATAACCGTTTACATAAAAAATTAAAATATGCCTCTGTCTTTAGCATAACATAAGTTTTTCTTCAGTGTATGAAATGATGAAAGTTGATACCTTCACATTTTGGTGTACATGCATTGAGATTTTAAAAATAGATATCCACATCTGGCCCTGAAAACATCCATGACAGTACTGACTCTAGCTTTAGTTCCTTTCTGTAGGAAAACTGTTAAAAATGTATCTTTTTCATTACAAGTAATTAGGCAGTATCAGTTGAATGAAAGCAGTTCTCAATGTGTGTTATTTAGATTTAGAATGTTTAGGAAATCTGGTGGTGCAGTGGTTAAAGTGTTCAGCTGCTAACCAGAGGGTCAGCAATTCAAACCCACCAGCCACACCATGGGAGGGTGATGTGGCTGTCTTATTTCTGTGAAGATATACAGCCATGGTAACCCTCTGGGGCAGTTCTACTCTGTCCTGCAGGGTTGCTATGAGTAGGAGTCTACTCATTGGCAGTATGTTTGGTTTTTTGGTTTTCCATTGTTTACTTTGTCAGAGAAATTTGGAAGTATATCTGTAATTTATATTTGGTATGAAGGTGGAAATGTCAGTGTCTTAGTTATCTAGTGCTGCTATAACAGAAATACCACAAGTAGGTGGCTGTAACGATGTTTTCACACATTTTAGGCGGCCTGATGTCTGAATTCAGGGTGGTTGCTGTAGGGGAAGGGTTTCTCTCTCTGCCGCCTCTAAAGAAGGGTCCCTTTGAGCTTTTGCTCTTGGGCAGTCTTCACAGGGTTTGGCATCTCTCTTCCTCCATATCTGCTTGCTTGTTTAATCTCTTTTATGTCTTAAAAGAGTGACTCAAGAATGCACTCTCCTAATCCTGTTTAGTAAATGAAGACAACCATTCCCAAATAGGATTATAACCACATGCATAGCGGTTAGGATTTACAACACATATTTTTTAGGTATATACTTTAGTCCATAAGGAGCTCTGATGGTGTAGTGCCTAAGGCATTTGACTGCCAGCCGGAAGGTTGGCAGTCCAAACCCTCCAGCCACTCTGCAGAAGGCAGACTGGGCAATCTACTTCTGTAAAGATTTACCACCTTAGAAACCCAAAGGGGGTCACAGTGAGTTGAATTTGACTTGATGGCATTGAGTTTTGTTTTGTTTTGTTTTTTTAAATTCAGTAGATACTAGTCAGTCATTTTTAGAGGTTTTGTTAAATGCAGTAGAACATTGTATCATTTTGCTTTTTCTGGAATGTTAAGTATTAGTTTTAAGACATTAAGATTACTCTATATAATAATTGTTTTCAACCAAACTTTTTTATATTTAAAAATCAGAAGAGTTTTTATAAAATTTTGTTCACTTAAATAAAATTTGAGTAAATTGAATGAGTATCAAGAAGGTGAGACTGACTTAAGACTGAGTTTTATATCTAGCAGATAAAGTAAATTTTAATGAAACAACTTCGTTTCTTTGCAATAAGAAAGAAATGTTTTGCTTTCTTTTGTCTCATTATATTTCTGAAAAAACTCTCTAAAATGTAGTAGTGTTTTTCTGATATTGTAAGTTTAACCCATTTTCGTCAAGTTGATTGTAACAGAACTGTCCCATAGGGTTTCCAAGGCTGCAGCTTTTAGGAAGCAGACTGCCACACCTTTGTCCCATGGAGCAGCTAATGAGTTCAAATCATCAACCTTTTGATCAGCAGTGGCACACTTAACTGCAGGGCCATCAGAGCTCCTTAAATACAGTATATAGAGCATAATTTAATTTTTGGTATCTTAATAATGTGTGAATAAAATTGTCATCAATACAACACAGTATTTTTTAGGATAGAAGATACAGTAGAGTAAGGAATAAATTTAGAGTTAGATCTTTTTGAATTTCTTTGGAACTGGGTTTCTTCATCTGCCAGTGAGCATAGTGCTGTCACAGGGTTATTGGCCTTTAGGGAGGAAGTACTGTAAAGCCCTACGTGAGTGAGAGGTATCATTGCTATTTTCATGAAATCTCTGATAAAACACATTTTCTTTGCAATAGTGATATTATCTCCTAAACTTGGAAGACTTAATAGAGGGTTAAATTTATTTTTCACTATGAAAAGTTGGTTGGTCAGACTGTGCTTAGTAGTATAGTACACATCTTTTACAAATACTGCTTGATAAGTGAATGTGCTTTTGTACTTTTAGTAGTTACTTTAATGGAATTAATTTTTGTTCTTTCTCAAGGCCTATATGAACCCGATAGCAATGGCCAGATCAAGGGGTCCAATCCAGTCTTCAGGGCCAACGATACAAGATTATCTGAATCGACCAAGGCCCACCTGGTATTTGTGAAATAATTTACTTATTTATAAGCTTTTTATACACCTTTTTAAAAGTGTATTTTTACCACTTTTATTGCTTGCCAAATAATTGCTGTATTTTAAGTACTTTTTAAAGGAATATATATATATTTTTTTTTCTTTGAGTATCTGAAACACATGCATGACTCAGACAGACATTTGAAAACACCACCCAATATGGCTAAAGCACTGCCAGATAACCTTTTATACCAATCTCTTCTGTAGTCCCTAAGAGACATGAACCTTGCAGATAGTGTTTAAGCTATTTAAAATAGTGAGTTTAAATAATCTCAGTCTTAATTGAAAAGTGACCAGATGTTAGGAAGGATAATGTTTGACCTGTTTGACCTTATTTCTAGGGGTTTATGGTGTTTTTTTTTTTTTTTTTTTTTTTTTTTTAATTTTTATTGTGATTTGGGTGAAAGTGTATAGTGCAAATTCATTTTCCATATAACAGTTCATATACGTATTGTCTCATGACATTGACTGCAGTTCCCCACAATGTAACAGCTCTCTTCCCACTTCCTCCCCATCTTATTTCTAGTTTTATCTTTAGCTTTTCAATAGGTTAGAACTCCCCATTGTAAAATATTTGTTTGATGGTTTATTGCCATCATTGAGTGACTCTGATCTCTTATAAATAAAGCATTGTAGCACTGGCCTTAGTATTGTTTTAGCATTTCTTTTTTTATTTTCAGTACCATATTCCTGAGGTAATATATAGCTTCACAATCCTTCCAAGTGTCTCTGAAAGCTTGACAACTGTGGTTGAAAAATATGCTTATATATAATGGGGAATCCTTCCTTTGAGTAAATGAAAAGAAAGCCTTGCCTACCTCTTACAGTGGTCATCAGTGCTCTTGTTAACTGCAGCACCATATCAGAGAATAAATTTTCCCCAAACCAAGTATATTTTATCTTTAAAATTAGGGAGAGAAAATGATCTTTAAAGGAGGAATGATTATTGGAGATCCCCAGGGCAAATCTCAAGTTTGGTGGTTTCCTAGAAGGATTCAAAGGACTTGACATATATTCAGACTCATGGCTGAGATTTATTTCAGTGAAAGAATCCCAAGCACAATCCAAACCAAACCCAAACCCACTCCCTTCAAGTTGATTCCACCTCATAGTGACCCTGTAGGACAGAGTAGAACTACCCCTTAGGGTTTCCAAGGCTGTAAATCTTTACAGAAACAGACTGCCTCATTTTTCTTTTGCAGCGGAGCTGTGGGTTTGAACCACCAACCTTTTGGTTAGCAACCAAATGCTTTAACCCCTATGCTACCAGAGCCCCCTAGTTATCAAAGGGAAAAGGCACATGGGGCAAAGTTTAAGGGAAACCGGGAGTAAGCTTCCAGGGATCCTCTCCCAGTAGAGTCACACAGAACATGCTTAATTTTCCCATTAATGAGTTTTGACAGTACATGGGAAATGTTGCCAACCAGGGAAGCTGGATAGAGACTCAATGACCAGAGTTTTTATTAGGGGCTGCTCACACAGGTGGTTTCTGCCTGGTATGTACCAAATTCCAGACTCCCAGAGGGAAAGCAATGTTCAGCATAAACCGTATTATTTATAGAAACAGTTTAGGCACACAGTGATCAGAGAATTGTGGAACCCCTCCCAAAATCCCAGTTCCCAGCCAAGGACCAGCCTTATAAGCAACTCATCCTAAGGATAAGCAGTCAGGCCTCCTGTATTAGCCCTTTTCTGAACATGTGAGGTATATTATAAAATGAGTGGCTTAGTAATAGAATATAGTAATTCAGTTAAACTGACCTTACCCCTCCCTAACACTGAAACTAATAGCTATATATCCTTGGGCAGATTTCTTGCCTTCTCCCATTTCAGCTTTAGCTGTGAAATGGGGCTAATAATATTAATACCTTTTCTTACAGAATTTTTGTGAGGATTAAATGAAAATGGATTTAAAACGATGCTTGTTATATAGTAAGTGTATGGCTATTAAGTATATTTGTTATAATAGTCTGTGTTTAGAAAAGAAATGATTAGTGTTATCTTAGGCTTGATTACAATCCTTGGTTTATATCAAATGAAGTTTGCAGTGCATCAACACTAAAATGGAAACTCATTAGGATATTAAGAGAAATTTATTCATGAAACTTTTGCTGTCTTATTTGTACTAAGTTTTTCCCACTGTTAAAAAAACCGCATTTTATTACAGTTTATGAAATTAATATTTTTTTGTTGAAAATAATTTTGAAGCATCCATCTCTAATTTGAATTCCATGAAAACTCGTCTGTACATTTCTGTTTTTTTAAGGGAAGAAGTGAAAGAGCAACTGGAAAAGAAAAAGAAGGGCTCTAAGGCATTGGCTGAATTTGAAGAAAAAATGAATGAGGTTTGTAAATAATTGCTTTAAAAAAATACATTCATACTTATATACATATATATATGGACATGTGTCTTTTTTTATTATAATAAGAAAAGTGAAATAATTTTCATCTATTTAATTTTTTAATAAACGGAGGATCTAGGTAAAGCTCTTTTGCAACATTGATCTGTTTGCCAAGCCTAACGATTTATCCCTCTTTCCCTCCCAACAATAATGATTTTAACTTTTATTCTTACAGTTACCCTCTCATTCTTGCTATATTACTGATGCTGTGGGTGCCATATGGACCCTTTTTAGAGGGAAGCATCCATTGGGTTTTTTGGTAGAACTCATTTTTATTTTCTATCACAAAAAAGCTGATTTTTAGGAATCAGAGGGTCGTGTATAGAAGGCCCTATTGCCACCAGTTTTTTTTTTTACATTTTTCCTAAAAGAATTAGGAGTCTACATATAACAGTTCATGACTGAGGTCTCTTGGGTATGAAATGGTTGCCCCAGACAACTAGCCACTTAGCTTTTGGTTGTTGGTGCTAGAATTTTTTTTTCCCCCCTCACTGTATGTTTATTTTCTTCCTCTTTCCTCAGCTACTTTGTCTAAAATTTCCTCCTCTGTATTACTGTTAGGGTTTTGACAGAAAATTAGCTTGAATTTGTAAATCAAAAGTACAAAATTTTGGCACAAAGAATCGAAAGGTGAGAAGGGCAGGATAATGCTGAGCTCAGAATACTGGAACCAGGATTTGATGTTCCCTCAGAACACCTCCATTTCTTACCTTTGCTGTTCTCTGTTTTTTAACCTTAATTCTCTCCTACTCTGCAGACATGGGTACAGGCATTAGTGGGTGATCCATGGGGAAGAGCTCCTATCATCTGCAGATTTGTGCCTTTAGAACTTTGATTTCAAAATGAAAACAAATTTTTAAAAATCCAAAGCTTTCTTCTTCCAGTTCAATTTAGAAGTTCCTAGAAGGACTCTGATTCAGGCTGACTTGAGTTGCTGCCCAGCCTTGAGGCCAGAAGAGTGGTGTCTGTTACTAAAAGACTACAGATGTGGTCCCTGAGAGAATCAGGGAATTGATATGAGTCGAGCAATCACTCCATTTATATCTACTACAGATACTAGCCATACATTCAAGAGTCTTTCTCCTCAGCTACTATTATATCAAGGCACCTGTGGCTTTACCTACAGCTGTTGTCTACTTTGAATTCTGTCTGTCTGCTCAGCTTATTGCCAGGCCATTGGAAATTAAACAACCTACCCACCCTTCCTGTTCTCATCCCTTCCTAGCACAGGTGTCCTAATTGAATCTATCTGTCATAGTTCTGGGAAACTCTCCTGCCTTCTTTCATTCCCTTCTGTCATTTCTAACTCAGCTAACATGCTAAAGGAACACCATCCTAGTTCCAGGACTTTCATTCTTACCATTTTCCCTTATAGAGGGGGCAGTACTTCATAATAAGAAGGAAAAATCAGGACTTACGTCCTATTTTCCACCTTAAATGTCTGTAAATTCATTTTCCACACCCATAGTCGTCTTCATATCCTGCCAGTGACTGATTTTGGATCATAGCCTAAAGTCATCTTTCTGCTCTACCAGATATATGGAGCACACAGTTTTTTAGGTTAAGAGAGCTCTGTGTTTTAGAAGTGTTTTTGTTACATTGAAATACAGGTTTGTATGTAGATGTATGCTTTCTTAAAAAGAAATAGAGAATAATCATCTTATGCTCAGCAATTTAAATTATCTAAGCTATGTAAAGATTTATAGCCTTGGCAACCCTATGTGCAGGTCTACTCTGTCCTATGGAGTTGCTACGAGTTGACTCGATGGCAGTGGGTTTGGTTTTGGGTAAGCTATGTGATGTTAGCTTTTTCTCCCTCCCCCCATCTTACCTGTGATTTCCATAGTGATGTTTGCTTGTTTTGATTACAAACAAGCAAATGATTTGTAATCGTTTGATTACAAATGATTGTAGTGTTTCAACCACTATATGGATTAATTCAACTTTTGTAATCTGGAAGAGAATCTAACCATCTTTATTCATAAGTAAAAAGGCCTCAGCCCTAGTAGTAATACCTATTCTTCTTCTCAGTATATAGTGGAGAACTCCAACCTCTTAGCATCCTCTTTAAAGAGAAGAAGTGGGGCCTGCTTTGTGACAGATCAAAGATTCTGGATTATTCTGGGCTCAGAATACTAGAAAGGATATTTTGACTTTAATTAGAGGCAGTTCCTATTGGGATCAATGAAATGTGGGGTAGAAAGGGACTTCAACAACTGTGATTTTTTAGGGGTTTGGGTGGGGAGGTGCAGGGTCTTTGAGGGCACTGGTAACTAGAGCCCTATTAAAAGATGAGTGATAGGTGTTAGAGGATTGAGGGAAGGAAGTAGTGGCTATCTCTATAGGTTAGATGTTTTATAAATTGTTACCAGAAGAGATGTATAGCCTTTGATGGAGTTTATACCCTTTTTATAGAACTGGAAGAAAGAACTAGAAAAACACAGGGAGAAACTATTAAGTGGAAGTGAGAGCTCATCAAAAAAGAGACAGGTAATATAATTTTTGGTTTATTGCTATTTTTAATTTCATAGGCGGATTTTTATAGTAATACTGTGTACTGCTACAGTATATATATATATATATATATATATATATATATATGTATATATAAATTTGTGTCAATTTATTTAGACATGTATTTGTTTCTATTTAGAGAAAGAAAAAAGAAAAGAAGAAATCTGGTAGGGTGAGCAAAAGTTTTCCATTTTTCTAAATGTTATGATAAAGAGCCTACAAAACAGTAAGAATGATGTATTTAACCTGTTTGGTAAATGTAACCTAGACACTGGATGAGTCAAGGACCCCCTGGTCCTTTGGGTATAATGGTTTTGTTCTGTCACTGATAACAAAAGAAAGGTGTCAGCCTCCTTGTAATCTAGTAACTCCTCTATTGCTATTAAAGGAGGAAAATTCACTACCATTTGCCACTTAGGTTGTTAGTTTGCTGAGAGTTTTGTGGGTCCCCCCCTCAGGAGACTGACATTTATATTTTAATACTTAAGTCTTGTCAATATAGGCATTTGTTTCTCAGATATTGGATTGATTTTGCTATATATTTAAGAGATTTAACAGAAAAAAATTCCTGCATCTCACAAGCTTTAATTGTTTTATGCTTGGTCAAGTATTCATCTTCTTCTTCATCAAGCTCTGATTCTTCCAGCAGTTCTTCAGATTCTGAAGATGAGGTAAGATTTAGAAATGTTTACTTCAGGTTTTGATTAGTCATCCATAACTGAGAGCATTGACATGAATAACTGAGAGCTAGATATTTAAGTACTTTTTTATAAAACAGGAAAGTGATACGTTACATTTTAAATACTAATTATTAAGGAAGAAAACTATATTTTAAAGCTGGTCCTTTTGTTAAGTTTTGTTCATCAGTACAGATTTGATATAATAATATGCATAAGTTACCTTTTTGAAACAAAAAGCAAGTGTTTCTAAAACTGTTTTATATAGGATAAAAAACAAGGGAAAAGGAGAAAGAAAAAGAAGAACCGTTCACATAAATCTTCAGAAAGCTCCATGTCAGAAACTGAATCAGACAGTAAGGTAAAATTATTTAAATTTGTACATTTTGGGGAGCAAAGACATTTTTGTTTTTGTTTTTGTTTTTAAAGTTTCATATTGCTGTCAGGTTTGTTGTCTGAGGTTTTTTTTCTTTTTTTTGTACTTCAGTGTTCTGTTCCACTTAATTGATACATCTATATGTGGCACTAAATTGTTTTTTCAAAATACTTTCACGTATCATCTCCTTGGCAACGTCATGATAAGCAAGCAGACATTATTTTTCAAAAATTTATAATTGAGAAAAAAAACATCTTGCTTAAATCATATACCTAGGTGTTAGAACTGGAAGTTGAATTTCTGTCTTCTAATATCTAGTCCAGTACCCTGTTTAGTACTATGGTGCAATTTGTTCTTCATTATTCAGAATAGTTGTTCCCCAGACTTTCTTACTCATATGAAACACATGCATGAGAACATGTTATTCTCATTAAAAATAAGGATTTCTGGGCCCCATCTCCAATGATACTGATTAGACTCAGCCATCTGTATTTTTAACATGTTCCATGTGATTCTTATAGAGGGATGGAGTCATGGATCACATTTTTTGACAAACACTATCCTAGGAGACAAAAGCAACAAAAATTCTGTCTGGGTTTTGTAGCAGGTGTCTACTTGGCCTTAGTGAGATTTTTTAAAAGAATTCCTGGAGTATACAAAGTATTCAGTAAATGTTGGCTTTCTTTTGTCTTTCTAGTATCCTGTTAGTGATAACTAATATTGATTGAGTGCTCACTATGTGTTAGGTACAGTTTAAAGCACTTGACATGTTAACTCATTTAATCTTCTCAACAACCCTATGAAATAGATATTTATTATCTTATTTTACAGATAAGAGACTGAGACTCAGGGCAGTTAATAGCAGGAACTAAAGAACTGAAAAGCAGAAAAACTCTTGCCTCCCCTCCTGATGGGGAGAATCAGGAAGTCATATTGGTGGCTTTCTAAGCACATGTGACTACCATAGTTAAAGATAGACAATGGCATAAAGTTCTTATTTCAAAATAAATTGTGAGGGTATTACAATATCATTTTAGATGTCAGTAGATTTGAGGTACAGCCAGATAAATTAAGAAGCCATTTCCTTATGAGCAATTATACACATAACACATATTTCTCTTATATTTTCTGAATAAAATGCTGGCATTAAAACTTTTTCAGCTGTAAAGCAATGTTTTTTTCTCTTATTCTGTACTGCTGTATCCTTTACATTTAAAATTAATAAATGTATTTGCTTGCTCGTTTAGGATAGCTTTAAAAAGAAAAAGAAGTCAAAGGATGCAACTGAGAAAGAAAAGGTAAAACTGGTAATTAATTTTATAATACCCTAAGATAGACTAGAGTCTGTATATGGTACTTAATCCATGTCAAGAAATTAGCAGTAATGTGTACCCCTTTTTAGCTTAAGAAATTTATTTATTTTGCTTTTATAGAATTTCATGCTGATTTAAGGAAATTACTTATTTGAATTATTATTGTTAAAGGGAAAAGATTTGAACTTATATAAATTAGTGGATTATTTTAGATTAAAAATATAAATAATTGGAAGTAAGCATTCTCCTTTCATTTCTTAAAGTCATTTATAATGCCCCTGTAATTAAAGAACATAGACTTCTGTTTCTAATGAGCATTCCACAGATAAGTTTTGAAAAATCTTTATTTTGCTATTGTAATTGGGTATTTTATCTTCATTTATGATTTATTTATAATTAATATTAAATTTGTCCCTACCTAAGTTTCGGGTTTACACTTTTATTTTTTTCTCACTACTAAAAATGTTGTTGTTATGTGCCGTTGAGTCGGCCCTGACTCATAGTGACTCCTCCTTGGGTTTCCGAGGCAGTATCACTACAGAAGTAGGATTGTGCAACCTTCTTTCCGAGGAGTGGCTGGGGGGTTTGAACCACCAGCCTTCTGGTTAGCAGTCAAGTGCCTTAGGCACTATGCTACCAGAGCTCACTACTAAAAATAAGAGGGAAAAAAACTAAAGAGAGCAATTACTAATGAAAGAACACTAGAGACCAATTTCATTATACCTTACTTGGTCTTTTTATATCAATTTGCAAATAATAATCCATTACCAAAAAGAAAAACCAAACTCACTGCCATCGAGTCATAGTAGACCCCTCCTTGGGTTTCCGAAGCAGTATCACGACTGAAGTAGTTTGCCCAACCTTCCTTCTGAGGGGTGGCTAGTGAGTTTGAACTGCCAGCCCCCTGGTTACCAGTCAAATGCTTTGGGCACTACACTATCAGACCTCCCAATAATCCATTAAGACACTTAAAAAAGAAGCTGTCATGACTAGGTTGGGTTAATTCATTGATAGGAAGTCTAATATAATTTGCCATGTTAACCAGTCAAAAAAAAAAGAAACCATATGATTGTTTCAGTAGTTGCCAAAAAGGTGTGATGTAATTCAACAATAAATAATGATTTTTAAAACCTCTGTAAAATAAAAATAAATAGTGGCTTTTGTGTTTAAAAAAAGGATGTATGAATTTAGAAGCTAATAATAAACAAATATGAAATAAAACAGCATTGTGATTTTGAAAGATAGCAAAATAATACAAGGTTCAGAGTTATGTAACAAATATCCATGTACACACCAGCTAGAATTAACAAATGGTTTAATTTTGTCATAGTTGCTTCAAGTCTTCTTTTACTTCTTTAAAATAAATTCCCAGAAGCAGCAGCTCCTGAAATTAGTATGTAATCTTTCCATCCACATTTTATACTTTTATTACGTAAGTGTGTGTTTATAAAAATAACATGAAAATGTATGAAAAGGTACCTAGAGAATCCCATAGGTGAATATTTGTGTAATATTGGAGTGGGGAAGCTGTATGCCTCAAAACTCAGACATTTTAAGCAGATTGACAAGTTTGACTAAGTAATTTAAATGAAAAACTATGAACAAAGGTTACATACAATGAACAACTAAGAAAAACTGCTGGAAGTACATAAAAAATAAACTTAATGATCTTCGAAATAATTAAAAAGAGATATACCTCATGAACAGAAAAATTGGCAATATATATTTTTAAGCAATTCTAAAGAATTGAAAATACAAATAAAATTCTAATAACCAGAGATGGATAAGATAGGAAGACAAGCCACATAAAGAGGCTTACTTGGTAAAGTGTGACTCATAAAAGAGTGACAAATAAGCAAAATTTTGGGAATTGGTTGAGAGAATGAAAAAGCCATTTGGGTATGGGATGTCTTGGTCTTTGCTTTATTCATTAATACTAAATAAAAATTTTGCACTTGAATGCCTGTAAGCTTATTTCCCATTCTTTTTAGTAGCAAAGAATACATATATTGGTCTTCCAAAAGAAAATATGTTAGTTAAATTGGACTATATACTCAAAACAAATGCCATAGATGGGTATAATAATGACATAGTTAGCATGTAAAGATATTCTTGACATTATTATTAGGTGAAAAGGGAAGTTCAGAACAAAAAGTATTTATGTAAAGCTGTAACTATATACTGAGAAAGATGTTCCCAGAATTTCTTACAATGAACATTTAAATTTTTACTGAAATAATTAAAGCTATTTGCAGAAACAAAATTAAGACACCTGTAATCCAACACAGGGAGCTCTGGTAGCATAGTGCCTAAGGCACTTGATTGCTAACCAGAAGGCTGGCGGTTCAAACCCACCAGCCTCTCCTTGGAAGGAAGATGGGGCAATCTACTTCTGTAGTGATACTGCCTTGGAAACCCAAGGAGGGGTCGCTATGAGTCAGATCCGACTCCATGGCAGTGAGTTTGGTTGGTTTGGTTATACATACCTGAGTGTGTGTGTATGTGTGTACTTGAGGTCTCTAAGCACCCCTCTCAGTGTTACTCCCTTCTCTTTCTCTTGAGTTACTTTTATTTTCTCATCATTTAACTTACTTAGAGATTAAGATATTTTTAAAATCTAAATGTAACACTTAAACATACTAAAGGAATTACTTTTAGAGGCCCATTTAGATAATTGCAAATAATTACCCACTGATTGTTTTTTTTCCTCCAGCAGTAGGCCTGTTCTCTGTCTAACCCTCTGTAGAAATGAAAGAATTAAAACATAGGAACCCAAATGTTACACTGTCTGTATAGTTTCTTATGACACCTTAAAATTCTATTAATGTAACAAGAAAATAAGGAAGCTGTTGTGTATCTAAATGGTTATGTAGTTAGTTCTATTCAGGTTATTTATGAAAAGCATTGCTTTAGAGGAATTAAGGACTAAAATTCTGGTTGTTGTGTTGTTATTATTATGTGCCATGGAGTTGGACCCAACTTGGGTTTCCAAGGCTGTGTCACTATGGAAGTAGATTATCCAGCTTTCCTTCCGAGCAGTGACTGGTGGGTTTGAACCACCAGCCTTCTGGTTAGCAGTCAAGTGCCTTAGGCACTATGCTACCAGAGCTCCTAAAATCCTGATAAATCATGATTTTTAGACATATCTGAAATGAAAATTGCTTTTCTTTTCTTTTTTTTTTGGTACTTGAAAGAACTGTTAAATAAAATTTAGAAACAAATTTGTCTGTGGTGGAATTTTTGAGTGAAAATACTTTTTTTTAACAGGATATTAAAGGATTCAGCAAAAAAAGAAAGCTGTATCCTGAAGATAAACCTTTATCATCTGATTCCTTATCAGAATCAGATCATATTGAGGAGGTAAGTATATGATCATGTGTATTTTTCCAACTTTAAAATGTTTAGGTATTTAATAAATATGAACTAATAAAAATTCTTCATAAATATTTGATTTATTCACTTTTTTAGAATGATGAAATATGAAAAAGAAATAGAAGTTATCGTATTTTAGAACTAGTTTTGCATTTTTTCAGAAGATAATTACATACTATTGTTTTGATGATTAACCATATTTCGATTAACCATATTTCCCCATAATGTATCTGTTTGTTTCTGTTTTGAGCCACTATTTGGAGAGTAGAAAGGTGATGAAGTAGAGGAGAAATGTTGGCATGGCCTCAATTTTCCTGTCTATAAAATGAGGAATGTCAATTGGGTAATCTCCATAGTCTTTTTTTTTTTCAGCCTTATTAACACCTGTCTTAGATTTCATACTCTATTGGAATTAGAGTCTATTAGTTAATTTTGGGTCTGTAAATTGTCATATTTAAAATATTTCACTCCTGGCCTTGGTTTCCTCATGTGTAAAATAGGAACCTATCATAGTATCTTATTGTGATAATTAGATGAGACTATGAATTATAACATGTTTTACATAATAACTGGGGCCAAGTAAATGGTGGCTAAAAATTTGCACAATTTTTATTGTGTGTTAACAGTAAAATATAAACTCACAGTTGCATTAGAAACATTGCTTTTTAAAACTACAACTTTCTTTAGAGATCAACATACTTATTTTCCAACCATGTAATCTAAAAAAAGTTATAGGGGTGGGGGCAGGTTACCACAAGAGCTAGTTTTAGTGATTTCATCTCCTTTCTGGTGTGGCTTCCTTCTACATCAGCACCATCCATCTCTGTCTTTGTCTGCTGTATTCCTTGTCTCCCTAGTCACCAAGTCCTGTCTTTTTTGTTGTTTGTGCCTGTCTCCTTTCTGATGTCATTGCACATTGCATCAGTGGCCTTCAGTCCTCTCAGATCTGTTACTCCCTTTTTATAGCAAAACTTTGTAGCATCACCTGGAATGAAATTTGAAGCTAGTATATCCCACCTACACACATTTTTAAAAATGAATAGCTCCTAACAAATATAAAGATTTTTAAAAGTAATAATTTGTAATTTTATAAAATTAAATTTCAGTATGCAAATGCATGATGGCACTAGATATAAAATCTTGAGATACAACAAAAAGACTATAGCAGGTGCATTACAGTTGCCCTTCAAATATCATACAGGAGTGGTGCCATCAGTGACATTTTCCAACATTGTAGACTTAGTAGAACTAAGTCTTCCTTCTGTTTATATAGTATTTGCATCTCTGGGACATTCAGTGTGTTGTATAACCCTGTATAAAATGCTTGTGTTCATATTTACATTTAAATTTCATTTCTGTATTATAAATGGATTTACTATATTATTGTCTAGTGGGCTGTTCTAAAGTTATGCAGTATGTGGGACAAATCTTGAATGTACAAGACTGGCTTGGACATTGCATGACAGCATCCCTTGTCTCTGCCTGGCTAAATGTGGGTAACAGACATCTCCTGCCATCTCCACTCATAGTGATGACAACAACAACAAAACAGTAATTTCCTAAATGCTCTCTTAGACAGAGCTACCACCCCTATTAAGAGCTAATGGTCTCTAATGCTTATGTGTTCTGTTCCTTTAGTCCTTCAACTTCCTTATATTGTTTGTTATATTTTTGTGTATTTCGTGTATTTAATACGAAGTTACTTAGCAGGTAAAATAAACTTAACATGGAATTTACATAATTTTTATCCTCTAGTATTATGTTGTATTAATTATATTTACCTGCTATATGATAACAAGTAGAGCTTTATATAAAATGTTATATTTGGATTTAACGTTAAATATACATGAGGTTTAGCAACTTTAAATTTTATTCAAACCTAATGTATCACACTTTAAAAAAATTAAATGACATAATATATTGTTACTTGTTACATAAAAAGATTTTAATCAGTTAATTTATATGTGCACTCTGTCTATAGCTGCCATTTATTGGGCACCATAGAGTAAGAGAAATACCTACTGTATTTCAGGTACTTGCCATTCGTTGAGTGTGGATAGTATCTCCATTTTACGTCTGATGAAACTGAGGCTAATTTACAGTAGAGGTGGGATTTAGGTCTTGGTCTGTCTTATTTCAGCCTCATGTTTTTATCCATTATGCACACTGCTTTTTTTAGGTGCTGAATGGGAATATAAGAGAAACCGCTCAAGGAATTTAAAATCTTAACTTTATTTCCTTTAAATGTATGTGATTGAAACCTCATTGAGGTATAGGATTGAAGAATAACATGGCATTTATAAATACATTTGATTGTTAAAATGATTTTTACATGTAAATTTTAAAGGGGCGAGATATAGTAAGATGAAAATAAATGCTTTGAGTACAAATTACATATCTATCTTCTGTTCTTCTACAAAAATTTAAACTTTTTAGGTACGAGCAAAAAAGAAGAAAAGCAGTGAAGAACGAGAAAAAGCAATAGCAAGTATCACTTATATTTTACATGACAACAGTATAGCTGTTTTTAATATGAAATGAGTCCTGATAATGCATGATTGAATTTATTGAGATCAAATAAATATTTATTAGGGAAATTGTGGTCTTCAGCTTCACTTGATAGGTAGGACATAGTTAAATATTCAGGGAAAAAGAAAATACTTAACACTAAACTTTTTCTATTTCCATTTTAGTTTTTTACTGTTAGAAGTATAAGCTCGAGCTTTGTTTGCCTTTCTTAAACTATGATATGAAATAGTAGATTAACACGTGATGATTCCCACAGTCTTTGATATTAGTTATTTCCAGATCAACCAAAAACCTGGCAATGACAAAGAAAAGCTACTCTAAGCACAAGCTGCAGTGAAATATAAGCAGAAAAATAATGTGACAATATAAATGACTTCCTAACAAAGGTGATTCTTTTGATAGTATTTAAAAGCAGGCTCTGCTAGAACCAAAATTGAGCAGCCGTAAAGAAGGAAAGCAGAGGAGACTATGAAGAGAAGTGGGAGCCCAGAGGAGCAGCACACCAGTTTGAGGGAAAATAGATCACAGAGACAATCAAGAGTAATGTAGGCCATGGCAGCAAAGTGATTGATTGAGGGACACTTGGTTCAGGTACAGGTTGTGACATCTCGGGCCACAGTTTTAGGGAGAGGTAAAATAACAGCATCCTTTGTAGGTTTGTAGGTAAGTCCTTCCCAGAATTTTCCCTACCTCTTAAAATGAAGGACCTTCTCTGATAGAAGGTTCACCTGGTAATGTATGATTCAGAAACAGCATTTTATCATTTTATATGCTTCAAAGTACCAAAAAAGAGAGACGCTTTTTTTTTTTTTTCCCCCCTCTCTTGAATGGAAAAGTAATTTGAGTGAAGACTGGTTTGGTCTTTGGTTCAGATACTAATTTGGGGTAATTCTAAGTTATTCTGACATGCCTTCACTATTTCATTCATTCAGCTAGTACTTGTTGAGTACGTCTGTGCAGGCACTGTTTTAGGTCTTAGAGATGTGATGGAGTACAATGTAGATAAGAGTGTGATTTGGAAAGTGATTACAAGAAGGGATAGAGAAAGCCTCTGAGAAAATTAAGCTGAAATCTGATTTATAAGAACAGCTAACTGTGAAGGTCAAAGGAAAGAACATCCTAGGTAGAGAGAAGAGCTAAAGACCTGTGGTGGTAATGAGTTTAGTATGTGTGAGGAACTGAAAGAAGGCAAGCGTGGCTCAGCTGTGGTAGGTAAAGAGAAACGGGACAAGACGAGAAGTAAGCAGAGGCCGTATCACATAGCAGTGTTTGGATTTTAGTCAGAAGTGTTATGGGAAGCTATTTTGAGCATTTTAACTAAAGAGGTAACATAAATGCTTTAAATTTTTTCAATAAAGTGGTTAACTTTTCTTTATGAAAAATAGCCTGTAATCTAAAACTTAGTTTTAAAAGCCCAAATTACAGGATTTTGTGTTTACAAAATTCCCTGTGTACTTTGAGCTTATAGTGAAGAAAAAAATGATGAAAGTTAGCTTAGAGCTACAAAGTAGTAGAGGCCTTTGAAAATGAGAGAGGAGGACGTTGTCGCAGGTGAAAAGGATAGGAAGCTCTGCCTTTACTGCCCTGATAAATCCCTTCTCCTTTCTTGCTTTTCATTTTCTTCTCCTGCAAAAAGGACAGGGAGGCAGCATCTTTTGACCTCCTCTCATTTCACAAGAGGGAGACTGGATCACCATCAGCAGCCTAAGGCTTATTGCTTTGAGGACAGAAATGTACCACCCTCTGCCTTTTTACCATCTCTGATACCAACCATCCCTCCCACAGCACTCAGTGCTTCTCTGCTGGGTTTAATAATTTGTTGCAGTGACCACACGGAACTCACAGACAATACTTAAAATTATATGGGGTTTATTGGGGAAGTAACAGGCTACAATTCAGGTTCAGGAACTTGCTCAGGATACAAATCTCAGATCAGAACAGTTCTCTCTGCTATGCCTTCGGGCACGCCTCTCTGGCCCTTGTCCTCTCTGCCTGCCCTGCTCAGGCAAGGGTGTTAATGAAGCTCTTTTAGCTCTGCTGACAGGCCCAACTGCGTGCACCCCGCTCCACCAGCAAGCTTCTTGTCCAGTGCCACTCACCTGTCTGCTCCGTGGGCCAGGCGAGCCCATCTCTCTGTCTTGTGCCTCTTGGTTCCACTGCCACCATCTCTTAGTTGGGTGTCTCTCAGTCGGGCATCTCTGTCAGGGAGATCCACCAGCACAGGGATCTCGGGTCCAAGGATGCACTCCACTTCACCTCCAGCTCTTTTCTTTTGATGGCAGTGAGATCCCCTCTTTTGCCTCTGTTGTTGTTGTTGTTTGCCGTCGAGTCATAGCGACCCCTCCTTGGGTTTCCGAGGCAGTATCACTACGGAAGTAGGATTGCCCAACCTTCCTTCCAAGGAGTGGCTGGTGGGTTTGAACCGCCAGCCTTCTGGTGAGCAGTCAAGTGCCTTAGGCACTATGCTCCCTCATTTTAAGCCTGGCAGAGAGACAAAATTGATCAATCCCAACATCAGAGTTCCATACACCTTTATTGTATGGTCCCACCCAGTAATCTGGTGGGAGTCATAAAGACCATGGCTAGAAAAGCCATACCAGGTAATTCACTACAACACATCTCCCAAGCAAGCATCAACACTAGCAGTACTCTTCTATTTGTTACTACCTTTCTAAGTATATATGTTCTGCCCTATTTTCTACAGTAGAAACAGTGAAGAGAGTCAGAGTTCAGCAAAGCCCTAGCTCCCTTTCATCCAATCACAGTTTGGCTCTTTTTACTAGGCTTCAGTAGTATTTTCCTCTAAAAATAAAGCATCTGTTTTCCTAAGCGGAATATATTTTTCAACTATACATCAGTATTTTATATTAATTAATAAAGTAGTTACAGGAGTCTCTAAGTCCCTGGGTGGTACAGACAGTTAATTAATGCACTTACTTGGCTGCTAACCACAAGGTTGGAGATATGTCTTGGAAGAAATGCCTGGCAATCTACTTAAAAAAAGATGAACTCTTGAAAACAGTTCTACTCTAACATACACCGGAAGGAAGGTAAGGCAATCTACTTACGTAGAGATACCGCCTCAGAAACCCAAGGAGGGGTCGCTATGATTCAGGACCAACTCGACAGCAGTGAGTTTGGTTTGGTTTTGGTTCTAACATACACATGGATCACCACGAGTCAGAATTAATTCAGTGGCAGCTGGAAGAACAACAACAAAGCAGTACACAACACCTGCATTCCAGTTATTTAACAATAGCAGGTTTAGTATTTCTCTTCTCTCTGGAAAATGTCATTTTACATAAACATTTATGTTCTGCTATGGTGTTGGGCAATCCTACTTCCGTAGTGATACTGCCTCGGAAACCCAAGGAGGGGTCGCTATGAGTCGGGTTTGACTCGACGGCATATAACAACAACAACAACATGGTGTAATGACTTTTATGCAGTAACTGCAATTTACATATAACGTGAAATAGTCCCTGGTGGCGCAGGTCAACAGAATTTATTTTCTACAGGAAATTTTGCTAGGAGCTAGTTAAGTATACTAATAATTTCAGAGTTTTTCCTTACCTTTTTGAAAGTCAACAAGTACTCTCTCAGTCCTCATATGACATTGGTTGTTGAGCCTGAGAGAAATAATGGTAAAGACACTATTTCATCTTTATTTTGAGTAGCTTATTTGGTTGTGTGAATTGCTTGAAATAGCTCTTCAGTAGCTAATAAGTAGCATGGTAAAGTTGTTTTTAATTTGTGTATTTTTAAATTATAATGTGTAACATATAACTCTCTTTACAGGAAAAAACAAAAAAGAAAAAGAAGCATAAGAAACACAATAAGAAAAAGAAAAAGAAGGCTGCTAGTTCAAGTCCTGACTCGCCATAACATTAAGAAAAATTAGGATTCCCTTAAAAAGAAAGTGCAATGTCTGAGGAAATTTCAACTGTGAGAATTATATTTACTAAAATGCATGAATTTTCTTGTTTTTAAAACTATTCCTGAACTTTCAGTAGCCACTCAGCTGCCGCTGTGTGAAAGGGCCATAATTGTTGCCTGCTGCTTGAACATCTTTTTGTTCTCTTCCAGTGTTTAATAGCTCTGGAAGGTAGTACACTGCAGTCATAATAGTGGTTAAGATATTTGGGGATAAAGTTAAGTATTTTTTGCTAGAAGTATCTAATTATAAATCAATGTAAATTGAAGCTGGATACATCTTTAAGATGTATTCAGAAATATTCAGATGACTAACATTTTAAAGTAGGGATTACATTGATATTTCAAAATCCTTACTCTGTAGATAAGTGTATTTTATTTTTTTTCCTTGTATACATTTATTTACCTGGGGAAGGAGCTTTTAGGGATGGGGAGGGTGGTTTGCTATCTCTTTAGCTAATGGAATAGCGTGCCTTTGATCCTCACATCCTGTTTTTGTGGATGCAGCAGCCATGCTTCCTGGGGAGGTCAGAGCTGGATACAAGCAGTGTTGCTCATTACTGAGCTTAGTGACATCCTTGGGCTCTGTCTATGCTGCTTTGAGGGAACACCCCTTTGCAGCATGAGAAAGCCCCAAAAGCTCTGGAATTTACCTCCACTTTAAAAATACTGAATATTTTTTAGCATTAGAATGTGTTATGTCATTTAAGTTAATTTTGACTACACTTTGGCTTTGGAGAGTAATCATTTCAAATAGACACTGGTACTTTTTGAACTTGATAGTTAAAAGATTCTGAAATGCATGTTTTATACTGTTCAATTTTCACCAGTTATGTAACCAGTGATAGTTATTTTATTTTTATATGGATTTTGTTTAGGCTGCAATGTTTACTTTTGTAACTCCTTACTCTTGCTATCTTAAGTTCATTTCTGTGTTTAATGGCATACTTGCTGAGCAATTTAGCATGTAAAAAGCAGGTTTTTGTTTTTTTTTTTTTTTTAACAGCTTCATATTGAAGCTGAGATTTACCATAAGCAAGTTGAGTGGCAAGCCTGGTATGCTGTGTCTTGTTACATAAAGCTATTGCCAGAATCTTAGTAAATAGAATGTTTTAAAAATTTGTTGTCTTTGTATATTAATAACATTATGACAAGTTAAACAATTACATTATTTCTTTTCCTGTGTCATATTTTACTAAGAATTTGTGCCTCATATCTCTTGCTGAATTGTTTACTAGTAATGTTAAAAGGAATTGATAAATCATTTTCACTTTACATTTTTATATAGTCAGGTAACATGAAATATAATTTGATGTTCAATTAATGCCTGTCACAGAGGGTGTGGTGATTATCATGGTATATGCACAAAAGATTTTGGCATGCATGATAAGAGGCTAAATAAATAGCTATTTTACTTAAAAATAGCTTTGTTCTTATATCAACTCCCTTTGAGGTCACAAGTAAAGTAATAAAAATGATGAACAGTTAAGTACATACATCATATCCTCAAGTTTTAGTAGTAAAAAGAACATAACTTCTTAGCAAGTTTCTTTAAATTTGACACTTAGAGCTTCATGTATTTTCTATTTCCTATTAAAAAATTATCTATATGTTCTTGAGTATATAACAAATTTGAGGGACATTTTGTATACAAAAGAAAGTTTTTCAGAATTGTTTTTCATGAAAATGCTAAAAGTTTAGTTTATCTGGTTATTTGTAATCAGTTTCACTGTGTATGTAAAAATGAAACCTTAGAGACTGGTCTAGTATGTGGTGATTACATCCTACTGAAAGCATCCATTCATTTTATTAGACTGGGAAAGAAGGTAATCTAGCAAAGCATTTTATCCTTTCCAGACGGTGTTGACTGTCTGGAAAACACCTCATTTCTCTGATGATAGCCGTAACAATCTTCCAGTTGGGTATGGGAAAGAAATTCAACAGGGTAATATGTTAGCAGTTAAGGTCATTCCAGAGTGATTACAAGCAAGTTAATAACATCACTTATTTCCTTCTCCTCCAAGCCACCCTTTTCCTTGAATGACTTTACCACCAATTTTATAAACAAAAAAAACACACTGTCCTCTAGTCAGTTGTGATTCATACCAACATCAGATAGAATACAACTAGCCCATAAATTTCCCCAGGCTGTAATCTTTATGGAAGCAGATTGCCACATGTTTCTCCTGCGGAGCAGCTGGTGGGTTTGAGTCGCTGACTTTTCAGTTAGTGGCCGAGTTCTTAACCACTGCACCACCAGAATGCTGCATATTATAGACACAAGGCATGTGTTTGAATGTTGATGCTAGGCAGGGTAACTACAAGAAAATTAATTCATAGCTGGATAGAAAAATAGACTTTATGCCAATGTCTTGGATTCCTTTGGTTACCTGTAGTATTTTTTTAGTGTTTAAAGTACCAGTGACTTCTTCCCCTACCCCACCCCCCACCCCCCCCGCCAAATTGAGGATACAGGCTTACTCCTTTAATCAAGATGAACTAAAAGCCTATTGCCAAATTTTCTTTCATTTCATGGAGAATAATACCTAAACTCAGAAAATGTGTAAGAACAGTTATTCTTCAGACTTAAGTGATAGGTTTCACAGTTTTAAAATATTGCCAGTTTCCAGTTTAAAATCTATAAATACTCATTTGGCATTTCCTTAAGAATAATTTTAGAGAAATTTTTTGGTCAATTGCCTTTATACCTCATTTTCATATTTTATCAAAAATTTAGTATATTTTCTGCCTTATCACAGGGAAGGCGAGCAGACATGGTATAGAAGATGTTTGTATCAGGATCTTAAAATAGACGTGAATTAGAACAGTTGACATTTTAGTAGCTTCATTGTAGTCAGATCCTATTCTACTAGTCACTCAGACCATAAGTTAGATAAGTAAAAACTAGAAGCTTCCATGGACTACCAGATTGAAACCTTTGGCTATCATGAGAAGGTACTTGGTTTGAGGTTAGAGAAATTATAACCTTTGAAGGGACTATTTATAACTCAGAAAATTACAATATTTCAAGTTAAAGAATAAGGTCTATATTATCTTCATTTTTAATGATATGTTCAAATGGGAAGAACATCTGTAGAGTCTGTGCTGTGGGAGTATAAATGGCAGTGATTTCGAGCACAAGTTTCGGTAGTGCTAATGTTGTTGTTGTTAGGTGCCGTCGAGTTGATTTTCAGCTCCTAGCAACCCCATGTGACAGAGTGGGGTTTACAGAGGCTGCAGTCTTTATGGGAGCAGGTCACCAGGTCTTTGTCCCCCAGAGCCACGGGTGGGTTTGAACCACCAAGCTTTCAGTTAGCAGCCAAGTGCTTCACCGTTGAGCCACCAGGGCTCCTTTATGTAGTGTTACCCCCAGATTTAAAAATAGATGTTGAAATTGCTATAATTACAATGTTGTTGTTGTTGTTGTTGTTGTTATGTGCCGTCGAGTCAAACCCGACTCATAGCGACCCCTCCTTGGGTTTC